AACTGTTAATTCAATAAAGCCTTGGAATGAAAAATTCCGTTACAATTTAATTCATACAGAAATTATAATTTTATGATAAATTAAAAAAAAAATTGCGCACTCTTGCCCCACATGACTCTATATATGAGTTGTGTAATAAACCAGCGCGAGCACCAATTATTATATCTGTTGATACAATTAAATCAAAGGTAATGAAAATAGCTGTAAATTATTCAGAAAGTAGCTCCTTGCACCACTTTGCGTTGTCTTTATTACATTAATGTATCTCAAATTTAAATATATCTATCAAATTTCAGGTGTTCGTTCAAATAAGTATATTTATTAAATTATAAATATAAAATAAAATATTACATAATTTCATTGAACCATGTATATTTTTTTCGTATAATGAACCCAAAGTTCTATCACAAAGAGTTGCGAGAAGGAATTAAACATACAAGTTCTAATAATCATTAGCCAATAAACTTAAAACTAGACCTTTGCCATAATAAGCCTAGAATGAAACCAAATCTGATATTGATAAGAAGTTATACTAAGGAATTATTGTTCGTGCTTATTAAGAAAAAACGCTACATTTTAAAAGGAAACCAAAAGTGATATTGATTTGAAACGTAACCCCACAGAATTATTATGCATGCTTTAAGTTAAGAGTAAAAAAAAAAAGAAAGAAACGTTACATTTTAAAGGAAACTGCAACCCAAATCAGTGTTACAACAAAACGTAAAATGGTGCACACTTGAAAATGTCTGGTTAGAAACTTTTCATTAACCGCGTTAGCGAATAAAATAGTTTAAAACATAAAAAATTCACATAGACGAAATACCGCTGAATTTGATAAATCGTTATTAATAAAGGTATGTGTATTTACTTACTATAATTTTATACCATTATTAAAAAAAAAAAAATTATAGGAAATCTCGCACAGTCGTTGGGCGGAAATATGGGATAGAGTTGATGAAGTTCGCGAAGAAGAGTTAGCAGCATGGTGGAATGACGATGGTGTGGTGTGGAATGACTACTATTTTCGTAATTTTATCGCAGAAGAAAGAGATTCGTTTTTTATTTCAACCGCCATCATCACCACGACGATAGCGACAACAACGACGAGGATGATGGGGATGACAACGAGGGCCACGGCAACGACGACCACGAGGAGGAAGAGGAGGACGACGACGACAATGGCAATGACAACGCCGACAACGAGGGTGACAACGACAATTACTGCATCAATGAGGATGAAATGGACCCACCTTTTATGTAAATATAAAATTCATTCATACTTCATAATACCAAATGAGAACCTACATGTGTGCAGTGATTGTTTTAGTGAGTATAAATCATTAGTTGGACAAACAATTAGCTCGGATCGTCGTGGGCTTAATCGCGTTAATTCAAACTATTTGCCGAATTTATTCGTGATGAACACCAGTGGTGCGCACATGCATCTTCGGAAGCCGCTTTACCAGTTGGTTCTTAGTTGTTTTTTTTGCATATGTATATATTAGATACTATTAATTATTCTTAGTTTTTTTATGCATTATGTATATATAAATTTATTATATTACACCGGTAATACATTTTATTGTAGGAAAAATTATCGTTTTATGACGACCGTTATTTTTCCAGGGTGATTCTCGTTATTGATATTTTATCAATTAGTCATTTAACAATATCGCCACCGACCAAAAGTACTGTATGGGATTATTTTGAACCAAATAAAGAAGACCAGGAGAAAGCTAATTGCAAAATATGCAACAAAAGTTACTCTCGCAAGGCCGAACCACGTCGTCTTTGAAAAATCATCTTAAGTCGATGCACTCAGAAGAATTTTCAACAATTGAGAACATTAGTAAAGAAAAAAAATTACAACAGATGAAATCTGACGCAAGTAAGTTTCGTCATTTATAGTTTTTATCACGAGTTTTCATATCAATACATAGTATAAAACAAAGTCGCTTTCGCTATCTGTCTGTCCCTATAGTGCTTAGATCTTTAAAACTATGCAACGGATTTTGATGCAGCTTTCAATTGGGGTGGGTCGCTAGTTTAATATAATAAATTTTTTATATATTACAATTTTTATTCATATGTATTCTTATTTTTTAGATAAAGTTACCACTCCTCCGCAAGAAGCAGCTTATAACTACCTTATCTGCTAACATTACTCCAAAATTACATTAAGAACTAATGTTAGTTAGTTATAACACGTGTTTGAGGTTAATGAGTACAATTTGTGTTATTATTTACATTATACTTACATTTTATTTTATTAGTAATTTATGCAAAAAAATATTAAAATTAAGTAAGTTTTAACAATTTAATTTATTGAATTGTAAGTTGCAGGGCACAGATGTCAATTTTCCTCTCTCGTAGTTCTTTCTCTAGCTCTTGGTCCCTCTTATTCAATGATTTTATGTTCCAAGTCGCAAATCTTACATTCTTCTGCCGTTTTCGTCGTCGTGTTTTTGTTTTCCTAACCTCACTTCCTTGGATTTTTGCATGGGTCGTCAACGGTTTATCAGTCCTTTTCCGAGGCAATGCAATGGTTCTGTGAGCATTAATTCGTTTTTCCCCAAGATCGGTTGCTAGCCGGGTCTTGGAACCTTCCTTCTTTATCCAGGCTTAGGACTGGCCACATGCCATGTGTCGTCATGCGGGCGAAGTTACAAAACACACAAGAACAGCACAAGCCTACCGAAAATATAAGAGAATTCGCAACGAGACCAACTTGCTAGTTAGGTGGCATAAGGACAATTACTGGGAAACATACTCAAAACAAATGGAGAGCGATTTTTACGGTTTGCAAAAGGATATCTGGAAATTTATTAGGCGTCAAAGATCAGACCTAAACGAAATTATCAAAGCAGAAGCGATTGACGATGACACATGGAGTAAATATCTAAGCACACTATATTCCTCGAATATCGCAGAAGTGCCAACCGATAACACCCGCAATATCCCAGATATAAGGTCAATAGAAGTTACGAACATTGACCAGGACGATGTTACCAACGCCCTACGAAACCTAAAAAACCGCAAATCAGCAGGGAGAGACCAAATACCTAACGAGCTGCTAAAATATGGGGGAACTGCATTGATAGAAGAACTGACCAAGCTATTCTCTAAGATTCTTAAGAACCAGAAAATTCCAGCCGAATGGAAAGTGAGCATCCTTATTCTAATGTTTAAGAAAGGCGCAAGAAATGACCCCAACAACTATCGCGGCATTACTCTTCTGAGCACTACCCTCAAACTACTCACTAAAATAATCACCAATAACTTACTAGCAAAAACGTCAATAGCAGAAGAACAACAAGGCTTTCGAACTGGTAGGTCATGCGCTGACGCTGTATTTGTGATCCGACAGCTGAAAGAAAAAGCAATTGAATTTAACAGGCCGTTCCGCTTACACTTGTTTTGTTGACTTCGAAAAGCTTCGACAGGGTAATGACCAGAGAATGTAATTCAAGTATTACACAAAAGATCAGCCCCAGACGTGATAAAGACCGTTGAAGATATGTACACACAACCACTTTGAAACAAAAGTTAACAATCGGACTCTAATGCCCATCAAAGCTGGGAGTGGCACTCGCCAGGGAGATAGTTTAAGCCCTCTCCTATTCAATATGATCATGGATGAGATGATAGCGGGAGTAAGATCCATGAGTAATAAGTAAAATGCAACAACATCAGCTAAATATCATGTGCTTTTGCGGACGATGCTGTACTTATCGCGCACAACGAAGACGACCTGCAACGAATGCTACACGTTTTGAACACAACTGCTAGAACATTTACCATGAAGATATCTTCATCTAAAACTAAATGTATGGTACTTGCACCAGAACCAACAAGGTGCAAACTAGAGTTGGAAGGCAAAGTCATAGAACAGGTGTCACAGTTCACATATTTGGGAATCCCCACCACTAGCTATGGTGACTTGTATCACGAAGTACTCCAACAAACAATAAAAGCAAACAAAATTGCTGGATGCCTGAAAGGACCCATACTACGGAACAAGCACATATCCAAACAAGTTCGCGGAAGAATATATAAAGCAGTGATAAGGCCAATAATGACATACACCTCGGAAACACGAGCAGACACCTCAAAAATCAAGAGCTTGATGGAGACATCGGAAATGCGCACGCTAAGAACAATAGAAGGTACAACTCTCAGGGACAGAATACCAAGTAAGCAGATTAGAGAGAGGTGCAAAGTAAAGGAAATCAATGAGTGGATACAACACAGAAGGTCAGAATGGAACAATCACATCAGTAGGATGGAGACCACAAGAATAGTCGAGTAGCATCGCTTTATAAATCGCCACAAGGGCGCAGGTCGCTGGGAAGACCTAGGAAAAGATGGTCAGATGTAATACAATGAAGAAAAACAGGCTATTGCCTACATAAGAGAAGAAGAAGAAGAAGAAGAAGAATTGTAAGTTGTGAATTGTCATAATTGTCATAATCTCACCTTCCTATGAAAGATCTGTAATTTGCAAATGGCTGAGACAAGACATCAATAACCCATCAGAATTTAAGAAGATATACCTATGTCACAATGGATTTGGAGATGACAATGAGGTAATGGGGGGTAAGACCTAAGGAAAGGGAATTGAAAATATCTGCACGATTGTTTGGTCTTCTTACATTGAAAAAGAGATTATATGTAGTGGTCACTGAGACATTACTTGCTGAATGTATTTTGCCTTACTTTCCAGATGTAACAATGACTTTTGATGACATAACTTTGAAAACACGTCTACACAATGTAACAAGAGTTATGGCTAGCAAGAGCCAGCGATGGGAAAAAGCACAAAGCAAGTGAAAAGTCAATAGTAAACAACATGAACTTCAAAAAGTGGAACTCATTTATGAGACATGAAGAAACATGTCCATTGTTGGAGGATTTTGATAAATTAATTGGATTAAATAATTGTTATACAAGAATATATATGTATATACACATATATAAATTCAATTGAGGCGTTGAATAGGACTTTGAAAGATATTAAAAACAACGACAATCTATTTGGCGGCACTCTGTTAGTGCTTTCAGACAAACACTTCCCGTCATTCCATGTTCAACATATGCTGATAAGATTAACGCATGCTTAAAATCAACTCCATTGTGGCGTTATGTTGAAAAAGTACAGCTGAAAGAAAATATGCTAAATATGCAAATGCTTCAAGATCCATCCGCTGAAACATTCTCAAAACAACTCTTAGATATCAGTGATGGGAAAGTTGCTACAGATGAAAATAGATACGTAAAATTACCGACCGATTTCTGCACAATCGCTGATCCGCAAGATACTCTCATTCAACAAATATTTCCCGATGTACACACACACAGTACATAAATCAAGAGTGGCTTGCAGAAAGAGCTATTTTAGCATAAAAAATGCAGTTGTTGTCAGGGAACTTGGTATCATATAAATCTATTGATACAATTTGCGATGCCAGGGAAGTTGTCAATTTTCCAACAGAATTTTTGAACTCACCGGGTTTGTCAGGCATAATATGCAATTGAAGGTTGGATCTCCAATTATTGTGCTTCGTAATTTAAACCCGCCACGGCTGTGCAACGGTACGCGATTAGTCATTCAAAAACTGATGAAAAACGTTATCGAAGCCAGCATTTTAATAGCAAGTTCAAAGGTAAAAATATATTAAAACCACGGATTCCTATCATACCTACAGATGTGCCAATTCAATTCAAACGAATTCAGTTCCCCAATAGATTGGCATTTACAATGACAATCAACAAATCTCAAGGCCAAACGATGTCTATTTGTGGCTTAAATGTTCTCGAGTGAGTAAACCATCCAGTTTGTTTGTGCTCGCTAAAGATGAACTCACAAAAAATCTTGTTCACGCCATAGTATTAAAAGATCACGCATATACCACATACTTGCATAGAAACTAGAATTAATTTATATGGCAAAACAACGTCTGTCGGGTCAGCTCGTATATATATATATATATATATTGGCCGTCACAATATTGAACAGCAAACTTACAAGGAATCAAAAGTTACACAAAATGACAACTATTGATACGGGAGGTTTGCCTTACAGTCGTTTACGACGTAGCAACTAATATCGACGGATCAAATGGATGCGACAGGTAAATTAATTTAAATTGAATATAATGGAAAAGAAGATATTGGTCGTTCATGTCTGAAATTTCCAGATTCTTCTAAAACAGGCGAGAAATTCAGAAGAAAGGCAGCGGCAACAATACAAAAAGTACAATCTTAGAGTCGAGTAGAGAACGCGGCAGGGGGAGTCGAGTAGAGAACGCGGCAGAGGGGAGTCGAATAGAGAACGCGGCAGAGGGGAGTCGAATAGAGAACGCGGCAGAGGGAAGTCGAGTAGAGAATGGGGGAAGTTGAGATCGTGAAACATATAGTTTGTATAATTAGAGAAATAAATTAGAGAACTAAATTAGAGATTTTGAATTAGAGACCACATGAGTTATTTCTAACAAAAGTGGGATAAATTGAATATTGGAATATACCCGTAGAGACAACGAAGATCAAGAAATTGGAGCCGACCGTGAAGAATAGACGCAAACACATGCGCTTCAGTAAGACCAATTTTTTTTCAAACAGAAAGAAATCCTGATTTATCTGCGCATCCGCTCAATAATCGCCGAAAAGAAGTGGCTTTGACCTACCCAACCACACGTGATCTGGGCAGTGTTTTTGAGAAATTCTCGACAGTACCATTGACGACACCCACCGGCGAGGTTTAACAGCGAACTGCTAAACTGATATCCACCAAGAACCGGCGGCGTTACGATGAAGTCATCACAGCCGCTACGAACAGGTGTCTGCGTGCCGACCATCACAGACGTACTATGAAACGTACGCATCTTATCCGGTTGAAGACCTTGCGTGATCACCACGCTCCACGCCATCCCGACTCATACATGCTGGAGACGGCGCGCACCCGATCAGCGAGGCTAGACACTGGTATGCATTGAACGCAACCCAGATGAACACGTTTAGCGAGTTTGATACAGAGTTCGAGGAGGCGTTTTGCAAACGGAAAAGACTGACTGAGCGCTACGCGAAGATGATCGCTCGAGTCCAGCGCCGCGGCGAGGCGACCGACGCCTACGTATATGAAAAGGCCTCGCTCTGCCCTATCAGCCTGTTGTCTGCGCTGTCAAAGCTGGCGGAGGGTGTTGTTCTTGCCAGACTGCAAGAACACATCGATGCGAACAATATCATCCAAGCCGACCAGTGCGGCTTCAGGAAAGAGCACGGCACACTCCACCAACTACTCCGGGTCAGCGAATACATCGCGGAGAACCTCAATCGACGCCGCCACACCGCCATAAGCTTCTGCTCGACGTCCGTCAGGCGTCTGACAGGGTATGGCACGACGGACTGGTTTATAAATTGCGTGTTTCCACCTCTGTATCTAATCGCTTGTGTTGAGTCTTTCTTAGGACCTTCTACTCGTCGATCGGTGCTGAGAACCTGCAAGGCTCCAAACTGTCGCCTGTCCTTTTTAATGTGTACTGCGCGGACATCCCGACCCGGGCAAGAGTCGAAATTGCCCTCTACGCCGACGACATCGCTCTCATATCTTCTAGCCCGCATCTGTCAACTTCCGCACAGCCTATCCAGGAGCACCTTCCAACGCTGCTGGATTGGTACTCGCAGTGGGGCCTTCGCATAAATGAGAGTAAGTCCGAAGCTATAATGTTTTCCCGTAGGCTCAGCCACAGAACACCGCGCCTATGCGTTAACCGGAAACACATACCGTGGAGTCCATGTGTTAAATACCTTGGTGTTTACCTGGACCGACGGTTATCGTGGATCCGGCACATCAAATACGCTAGGCAGAAAGCCCGTGCCATCTTCGCCCAACTTCGGCCAATGTTCAACTGCGCTCGGCTCAGTTGCAACACAAAACTGCGAATTTTCACCGCCTTCGTTCGCAGCGTCATGTGCTACGGCATTCCCATATGGGGATCCGCACTACCACGACGCCTGGCCAGCCTGCAAGGCACTTTCATGCGCCTCCTCCGCCGCAGCGTGGGTTTCCACTGGTGCGTGCACAACGCGCAGGTTCTCTACGAGACCGGACTGCCCGATCTTTTTGGATTCGCAGCCCGGCTAGCGGAGAACTTGCAATACACGTTGCAACATCACCCGAACCCCGCCATCGCACGCCTAGCCGACCTCCGGCCGAAAACGCACGACACCTACCGCCACCCATGCTGCCTAGTATTACCAACGTAGGCAGCCAACTCAACACAAGCCACTACTATTCTAATGTACACTGTCTGTAAATCTGTAAATCTATTTAACTGTACTCTTCCACCCGCATTATGAGCTCCCTTGCGCATATAATCCACCAGCTTTTCCTACAACAAAACTTCTAAACTCGCTCCCTCTAGGTAGCAATACCTTGGGAGCCACCTCCGCTTTTGGTTCAGGGTTTTAAGCCCTTCGGGGCAAACTCTCCAAGGTGTGTTGTTTAGTGGGTCGGGACCGTCGCCCTCAGCGAGGCCTAAACCCCACACGCCGACCTTCCCATCCGGTCGGCAGTCTGTATGCAGATTTTTCACACCTTGCTTCAAAAAAAAATTCCAGCAGTAGTTCGCTCTCAATCGTTGAGGCGAACAGACGTGTTTCACCGCGCGCGGAAACCGTTAACCGTCGCGAAAGACCGTTAGTCCAACCGCCGGACAAAACGAGGCAGGCAAGCGAGACAGAACCGAGTGCAAGCGCGCCGAAGGAAAGCAAACCTCCACAGTCAACGAGCGGAAGGGACCCCACCCCCAGGCGCGATGGACGGCGACACGGACGCCGGCCACAGCGACGCCTCCACGACGTCCACCACCAGCACGCACGGCGCAAAAGGTAAGTGCGCAAAATTTCTTAAAACCAAGGCACGTGAGGGTGAGCCGAAGCCGTCCCGCCAACGTGTACGCGTGAGAGCGGTCGGCGAGTGCCGCCCCCCTACCACCGTCGACGCTCCAGGACTTCGTCACCGTCCGTCCGGCAGTGACAGCGAGTCGCGCACACGTGCCAGCGCCGCAGCTGCGCAGGTCGCGCTTCCTCCGCTGTTCACCGCGTCCACCACGTCGGGTGACTCACCCTCGCTTTCAGCACCGGCCACAGCAACCGCTCCACCATGGTTGCCACAAACCCTTCGCCGGCCACGCCGGTCACGCCGTCCACCGCTGTTGACGAGCGTGACGCCACCATCCAACGCCAGCAACAACTGATCTGCGAGCTCCAACAGCAATTAGTGCTCTGATTACGGAAGTCCGTAACCTGACGGCTGCACTGGGCGCTACGCCGTCCCCAGCACGTTGCATGCCTTCCCCAGCGCCGCCTCTTGTTATTGGGCACCCGCTGGACTTACCTGGAGTCACTGCTCGCAACCTTTATCCTTCACCTTCTGGCTCCGCTGGCCGCCCCCAACGAAATACGACCGCCGCCGCTCCGGTCGCCGCGCGAACTTACCGTGCCGCGCCCTCCGCAAGCAACTCTGCTGCCGCGAGCGCTAAAGCGGGGATCGACATCGCTGCATCGGTGAGGAGCTTAGCGAAGAGCAGCTCAAGGCCGAGATCACGCGCGTGCGCGATGTCATCATCTTGCCGCATGCGCGCAAAACGACGGTGGCAAGCGCGCTTCGAAACCGTCGTCTCTGCGACAAGCAACTGCGAGATTTTCAATAAATCGTGACTGAGGGCTCGAATGCCGACCGAGCAATGCTTCCCGACAACCCAGCTCGATATGTCGCCGCCGCTGTGAAGTTCGGCCACACGGCTCGCTTCTGCTCGCGCCCTTTTGTCTGCGGCTTCTGCGCCGGCTCGCACTACTCTAACAGTTGCGAACACGCTGAAAACCGCGACCACCGTCAGTGCGCAAACTGCGGGGGGGCGCACCCTGCTTTCGCGCGCAGCTGCCCAGCGCGTCGCCATCATGCCGGTGTGGAAGACACCACTCCGCTCGCTCCGTCCGCTCCGCCGATCAACAACGCGGACAAATTCCCATAGGCTTCGCCCCTCGACCCGCAACTCGCCGCGTGCATACAACACTGCACACCCCTCAACTGTTACCCCGGTCGCGCGGGCCCGGACAGCTCTGCGCCATCTTATGCTGTAACAGCAGCATTTCGCCTCGCCGTCGCTTCTTCTTTCTCGCCGTGCCCGTCGGCAAACATCACCGACGCCCCTTACAGGCAAATGCAGCTAATGCCCATGTTCACCAACATGTTACTGCAAAGCGGTGAATTCTTCAGCGCGGCCTCCACGCAGCTTGTGGCCTCTACCCAACCAACACCGCAGTCACAACGCAGTAGGGCGTCTCTCCGGTTCTCTCTCTCTTCCTCTCTTACAGCCTCTCTTCGCTTCCTGACAGCTAATGGCTAGGAAACCGCTACGCATCGTCAAGCATGGAACGCGTGAACGGTATCCGTTCGCAATACCCGGAATTGAGCTCTTCCTAGAGTGTGATAACAAAAATCGACATTGCGTGCGTCATTGAGACACGGCCGTCAGCCGCTAACTCACTTTCCCCTTCGAAATTGTTACAGTCCGCCGCCGAGACAGCTCCGGTTCTGTACCGCTGGCGGTGTCGACATTTCGTTCGTAGGCATCAACTTCCTCCAGATCGGCTCCGACACCGGTAGTCGGTGACTGTCGTGGCGTCCAACTCAGCGACCTCCACTCTACGCCGTCTACGCAGCGTACCGTCCGCAACAAAACATCGATCGCAAGCTCTGAAATTTTCTCCCCGTTCCCAACAGAGCCCCTGAATAATGTGTTGGCGCGATCTTAACGCCAAACACAAGGCATGGAATTGCGTCGGCAATACTATAACGGTCGCCGACTCACAGCGCGACCCTCGCGCCATAACATCGCGGTTTACGCCCGACTCTTCCGACTCACTCATCCCGCCAACGCCCGCTGTCGCCCCGCTGACATCCTCGACTTGTTTGTTACGGCGAGAACGAACGTGCGCTCTGTCGTGGTCCACCTGATCTATAGGTTCTGACCATCCGCCAGTAATTATGGAAAACCAGCAAGGTGCCCCGGAATATCCGGCAAGAGGTTTTACAGTCGATTGGACCATGGTCCAGTTCCTGTTGGAAAAATCCACCCCTTCCCGCCCTAATATTTCGTCCACTGACGGCGTCGCACACCGCCATCGCTTCACTCACAAATCGAGTCACGCTACTCGTCACCCAAGCAACTGTCACACGCATGATTCGGCCCGATCACATCAGCCTTCCTGACGACGAGCTCATACGTCGCCGCAACCGGCTCAGAAAGCGGTGGTACCGCTCACGAGCCAACGAACTGCGCCACCCTCTCAACATCCTGTGCAAGGAGATCAAGAGTCGGATCGCTCAACTTATAGAGCGAACGTAAGGAGGCGCATTGCGCCGAAACGGAAGAAAGCCCGAAAGCGGCG